TTAATTACTTCCTGCCTGATCGGCAGAATTGACGGGAGATCATACGAAACGAAACGAGGGCTGATTGCGGGTGCTTTTCTCCCTCCTTTTTTTTGAACCTGAAACACGCGTCGATGCAGCTCGCTCGCTGCTTGTTACAATAGCGTAATAACAATGATAACGAAGTAATATTTCAAGTGCGAATCATCAGTCTTTCGACTGATCTCATTCGGGAAATGGTAATTCCCATGTAGGCGCGATACCTCATTCCATTTCATTGCCGCATTAGCACATTCACTTACACCCCCTGTCGATCACGACCTCGGTTATTATATCCTACCGTGATCTACGCGTCGTCCGCTACGTTTTCGTGTAATTTTCCCCAGCTGAAACGTAATTCGCCCCCGAACAAACTCGTTATCGGTATCGAGGAGCACCTGGATAATCCGGTTTTATCCGTGATATCTTACACGTCGCTCGTTACACACGTTAAGAGATGAGACCTCGTTATCTAAGCTGCCTCACGCACATATTCCCGTCTCATCCGGCGAGACGTTTCCGATGCGTCTAATGTCCTAATTATTGCAGAAACATGGAGTTCGAGTTTTTTACCGTCGCGCTAATGTTGTTCTTATATCTAGCGAGACGTCCGTGCGTTTCTCACTCGGCAAACTCGAAATATATATCCGGCGAGCAAACGAAAGAAACGTATATGTATACATGTGTGTGTGTGTCTGTGTGTTATTGGAATATTAAATTAGAATTACTCCGTACTATATTAAATTTTGATATTTTATTCGATTTCCAAATTTAAATTGCTCGCTTTTATTTATGACGATTTACGAGGCGACAACTTGGAAACTCGGTCCTGTTTTGGCAGTTGAATAGTCTACCTTCTTCTCGCCATTTTTCACATCCAGTTAATTTGCAGGGTTAAAATCGTTGAGCATTATAATTAAAATTTCCAACGACTTCACATGGAAAAAATTACAGTAAAGTTTACAGTATACTTTGGAACAGATCGACATTTTGCAGCAATTCACTATTCCTTCATGTGTGCTACTTATATTTTAGCAACTGAAAGGCAACTGAAAGGCAACTGAGACACTTGCTGTCTTGTTTGACACTTGTTTCTAGCGAAATTTACCATTGCAAGATAGAACATGCCGATAATCTATCCCTGTAGAGGACGTAGTAAAATTGAAAAGAATTTATATGAGAAAGAAAAACTGTAATATTCTTCCCCTGGGGAGGGGGAGTGAAATGATAAACACGCCACTGCTCGCATTTCGCGCGCGTACACACGCGCGCACGCGTGTCGCGGCGTGCACACACCGTGCGCGGCTTTCCGTGTAACCATTAATTAGATTAGCATATGCCGGAAAAAGATGCTGTCCGCACGTAATGCGTCCGCCTATATCCGCTGGCGGCGAAGATGCCATTACCACGACGGTGTATGTGCACGTTAATGGCATTATGAAATCATCCGTCGTCGCAGCCGCAACGTCGCAGAGCTTTTTTCCTTCCTCTCTTTTTTTCTCCTTTCTTTCATTCTGTATTTATAACTTCTGTTTCTCTCTCTCTCTCTCTCTCTCTCTCGCGCGCGCGCGAGACACGCGAGCAAAAATAAAGCCGGCTCTGATGATAATACGGCGAACGAGTGCCGTGGGTGGATAGACGAGGTGCTACACGAGATAATTCTTACGCGAGGACAACGTCGTTGATATTCCCAGGGGGATGGAATACGATCGAGTGCAAACAGCCTCAAGTCAAAGGGCACCTGAGACGCGGGATCGCGTAAAATACACGCGCGCGTCGGTAAGCTTAAGCTGTTTGCACGGTGGAAGGATCGAACACGAGATCGGAGCATTTAGAACTGCAGCGGAGGATGGAACCACCCGCGCGGCTCTAACTCGCCTGATCTTTGAGGATGCAGGTTTCGCGCGAGAGTGTTTATTTATATTTATCTACCGATTCGACGTGCAAACTCCGTACGAGTTAATGCTCCGTGCGAATTATGCCAGGACGAAAAGCTACTCTGAAGTGAGTCAGAGAAAGAGAGAAGAAGAGAGAAGGAGAGAGAACGAACGCCGTGAACTACTTATTTTATGAGCTTCCTCAGCGCCGCTGAAACACAGAACGGAGACACGAGTATCCCCCGTTAATTTTAACAGCGCGGAGCCCGACTCGTCGTTTCCTTATCATTTATCGCAACTCCCCGATACTCAACGATTCAGCGAGTTAAAATTCCGAGACTGTCTGAGGATAAGGAAAGATCGACTTCCTCGAAGAGGAAGGACTCATCCTATCTCGCCGGGCACGCTCTATACGTACGCGCGAGTCGTATTCTGGAGACCGCACCGGTACATAAGAGCTCTCCTTTTCACCCTCTTTGTGTGTGCGCTCGATCGAGGTGCTTCTTGTGGGCACATAAGCGAGACACATGAGTGAGAGCGTGCGAGTAACGCGCGTGTCCGTGTGCATCCGCCGGAATGCGACGGCCTAGGTGAAATGCCTGGCCCCGTGCCAGAGACTTTAACCTCAATTTGCAATAAAACACACACGCGTAGTACGAGAGCGAGCGACGGGGTGGAGGAAGGGGTTCGGGTGGATGTTTCCGCCCGGACGCGCGGCGCATCTCACAGGCAGCTCGCTCCCTTTGCCGCTACGAAAATACGAAGAGAGCCAGCACAAGAGGCACAACTGCTTCGAGTGCACCGCGCGAGGTATGCCGGATAAATTTTTTGGCGACGTATAAGCCAAAGCAATTCGCCCCGACCTCAGTCGACGTCGTCGTCGTTCGTTCATTTGCTCACGCGCGTGTGATTCTCCACCGTCTGGCGGATCTTTCTAACAATGAAGGAGCGTGAAGTGAAGCGTTTTTCACTCTTTTCAGGCTGCTGTGGACTAGACCACCAAGAACATAATAAAATTGAAAAGACTTTATATGAAAAAGAAAGACTGTGGTATCTTCTCCGTGCAGGAATGATAAATACACCACTGCTGGCGGCTATCTTGAATAACAGCGTCAGAAGCGAGAAAAAGTATACCCAAAATTCTTGTGATTAAAAGTCGGTTGGGAGAACTGAGGTCAATTGCTCGAGCAGTAACCTCTTACAGCAATCTGTCTGTTCCCACAACTGAGTTTTTCAGCTGGTCCCCAAGTAATAGAAAATTTAGTCACATCAACGAGCTTATTTTCTCCGTGTGGTTGCGGAGAACATTCCAGAAACCAACATCGATAAAACAAACATACTCCCCGCGTTGTGCGGCAACCTTCAGTTGGCTACGACAGGGGGGAGTAAAAAAATACGCAGGGTCGTCGAAAGCTCGTTGACTTTTTCGCGCCCGTGTTCGTTATGAGGCGCGAAACGTTACACGATCTCGCCGATGATCGGCGTCGGTATGTGCAGAGGGAAATTGCACGGGAAATTGCACTGGGTGCTCCCAGCGGCGTTACGTCCCGGCGGAAAGCCGAGGTGTAAAAAATCTCAGCAATTCGGCGAGGCTCTCAAGACTTAACTTTGGTGTATTTTTTTGCGACGGTCTAGCATTTTATTAAAAGATGCCTGAAATATCCTTGACACTCCCCGGATTCTTGCAACTCAGCTTGCACCTATTCCTCCTCGGCCTGCTTCCTCTTATTTTCTTCCGCATTATACGTTACGCCGCGCCCTCGCAACATATTACATCACACGGTGCATCCCCCGTGTAGGCCCCGACGACGGACTTTCGCCCCCCTCGCCGCGGAATTCCGATTCTTCACGTGACGATTTTCACGACAGCCGCGCGGAATTTCCCCGGAGGGGAGGCGAGTCGGCTCGCGCGGATTCGTCGCGTAAGCTGTCGTTAAAATTTAGGTCGTTGCTTCTGGGACACACCACGCGAAACGCGAGCGAGCGAGCGAGCGTTTATCTCGAAGCGCGCTCGCGCCCGCGCATTTATCACCGCGGTAATAAATGCGGCAGTTAAACAAAGACAGTAACACGGACCCACCGTCCCCGCCAGGTCGTCTTCTCTTCGTCCTCTCGTTCCTTCCGCGCTGTTCCTCGCGCGCGCTCGCTCACTCACCGGCTTTTACGAGCGGCAACAAAGAGCCGAGACTGACGTTACGATTATCTGACTGCGGGTGTGTACGTGAGCGTGTATATAGCGCAGGCAAGGACTGGCGGTAGCGAGAGACACGACGACGAGCACGACGATGATGACGATGCGAGAGCGAGATAGACTCCGGGAGCTATCCAGACTCCATAAAGTCGCGCTTGGCTGCGCGATCTCACCGTGGCGAAACCCGCGCGACATCATAGACGTACTTCCTTCAGCCAACAGCTGAAGGAAGATGCACCGAATGGCTTCTATTCGCGCCGCACGTTCGACACGGTCGGAACGACCGCGTCTGGTAGCGTCTTCGCGACGTGAGACACAAGCTCGCGAATTCTCTCTCAATTCGCGCACATTATTCGCGCGCGAATTCAAGTTCTAATCTTACTTTTGACCTCAATGTTCCATTTAAATCCGCTTGCTTTGGTAGCCTGTATCAACCTCTTTTGATTCTGTTCAATCTACATTACTCAGATACATTTTCATAATCATCACGACGTGAGACAGTCAATGAAATAAACTTTACAATTCGTTCAATCACATTTATGAAGTAAATATACTGAATTGAATCAATTATTAAATTGATGTCATGCAATAAGGTAAAATTTTTGTTGCATTGACGCAACAACAAATTTATTAAGAGTAACACTCAGATTTTCATTTAACATGAGTTATGCGTTTCTAACATGACAATATGGCGTATTTTGCCATTTGGAGGCGCCAAGCAGGACTTTAGTTTCAATGTACAGATGTTAGAAAACTCAGGTTAAAAGTAGGGCTAAGATTTGAACTCGGCGAAAATGAGCGAAAATGAACGAACAATTGGTCTGCGCCAATATCTCACCACTCGTGTTTTTAATTTCTTCTTCCCGAGGATAGCCTTTCATTGAAATAACCGATTCCTTTCATTTGTTGTTCAGCCCCGACCTGGAAGGAGGCCACGAAGACGGCCGGGAAACGCGGCGCAGTTGCAGACAACTCCGAGGGTGCAGAGTCCGATACCGCAGCATCTCGAGAAAGGTAAGTGACTCTCAGTGCTCGAGTCTCTCCTTGGGACTCCAATACACGTACACTGCGATCCTCCTTCATGAACTGGGTGGCGCACATTTGTGTCAGAGTAAACTCACGGATTTCTAGATAACGCGACGTCCGCGCGCGAATGAACGTTACTTCCAAATTGGATTCCCAAAAGTTGAAGTCCCCCGACCTGGCCGCCCTATCGAGTTCTTCGCGGACGGCAGTCAATTGAGAATGCGAGGGAGGAAGTTCCCCCGTCGCGGAACGACTAAAGACGATAATCGCGAGTGGCATGCCATTTGAAATTGAGATTTAGTAGGAGCATAAATGGAGCGAAACTCTCCTTCCCCTCTTTCTCTCTCTCCCTCCTCTCTTTCTCTCTCTCTCTCTCTCTCTTTCTTCTCTCTTCTCGCTCCCTTCCTAAAGCGAGAGGAACTCGGTTGCCCGAAATTCATTAGCGGGCTTCGCGGAATGTCTGCCTCGGTAATTTCGCTTTCGGGGGTGGCGGCAATGGTGGTGGTAATAACAGCAGCAGCAGCGCGGTATTCGCGCGCCGATGAATACAGTTTTAATCGTGTTCCGAAGGCGGCGAACTTTCGGAGCAGCTCTCGCGCGGAGCGGTGTCCGTAATAACGGAGTTTCGTCGACTTCATCGAGCGGCGGACTTGAACGGCGAGCATCGTACGTGCACATGTGTGCACGATAACTCTCCTATTTTATTTTAGCCCGAGTAAGCCCGGCCGATCGCCGGCCGGGCTGTTGTAGCGCAATCGCGGCGGGCGGCCGTTAATCGTTATCGGATAGTAAAAGCTTATCTGGCGCTCGGCTTGCGATAGCCCGGCGGCTCTGCACGGCTGTTACCCGGCGTGCCATTCTTGCCCGCGTCGCCCCGGCCGGGGCGATCGTTTCGCCGATCGATCGCGCCAATCTCGCCCCCGCGCAACAAGACCAGCGAAAGGGTTCCGATTTAACAACGCGATCCCTGGGGCGTCTCGGGTATCATAATAAAAGTGCGATAAAAGCGACGTGATATCGCGCGTCGTGTCGCGCCGTGTCGTACACTGCGAGCGCCCGTAAACATCGCGGCTCTCTGCAGAAATCGCGCGGAAAAATATAGCGGTACGATTGCCGCGATCACAGGTAGACGACGTGGACCGCTGTGTGCCGATTCGTGGACAGATCGAGTATCTTGTGCGCGAAAGTGTCGTATTCCCCTCACCTGCTCCATATTATTATTCAGAGTAAAAACAGACGAATCATTCAGAACACGCGTGGAATACTTCTTGCGGCTATTTTATTTTTAATTTTGCACTGAGAGAAAAAAATATGTAAAAAATAGAAAGTATTTTTTTTCGGGGTAGATGTATTAATGACATATTTACTTAAATCTTTAAATTCTTTTATTTAAATAGAATAAACAATTGCTTTAGTTGAATACATATATTTTCTTATTCTAGAAATATTTTATACTTAAAGTGTGTGTGTGTGTGTGTGTGTCAAGGAGATGAAATCAGAGAGAGTAGGGAGGGGTATTCTGTTCTCATGATAGTTTATATTTTCCATAAGGTCCTATACAGACAGAGAGAGGTATAAAATTCTATATCTTTATTTCATTTCATTTCATATTATTATAAGTAAATACAATATACTGTTAATATCTACCGAATAAATATTTTTATTTCTTTGAAATTTTTTCTCTCGATGTACCTCGATCACAACTGTCAAGGTGTGATCAGCCGTCGAGAATCAGAGCGACTGGGTCATCAAGTTTGACATTCGAGCTCTTCATAGTTCCAATTAATACGACTTACTCTTTATTTCATCTCGAATGGATTCGACCTCTTTATTTTATCTCGAATGGATTCGAATTATTGAATATTATGAAAAAGTTACGATCAAAAGTTACGATAAGTCGCAGAGGTTCCTGTGTCCAAGTTCGCCGGAGAATTTCTGCCTCATTTGTCTCCTCGATATCTTTCGACAGATCTCGATAGGTCTCACGTCTTTCCGTGCTATCCGTGTCGTTACCGCACGTTTCTGAAACAACATTAATTTCGCGCGGGAGCACGCGCGACATCGTCCAAAGTTCGCGCGCCGGCTACGTACAAAACGACATCGTCGATAAACCGCGAGTTATCGGGGCAATAACTATAACTTCTCCTTCGGGAAGTCCCGCGCACAAACGCCAAGGCGGAAGAGCTCGATAGTCGGGCGAGCTACCGCATAGCTCGGTCGACCCAGTGTCCAGGTCTCCGCCGTGGTCGATGAAGCGAGGTCAAACGGGGTCGTCGTCGCCGCCGTCGTCGTGTTCGACCTCGTCGTCTTCGTCGTCGGCATCGATAGGTGCGCCGAATCGACCCGTGCGAAGGTCAGACGAGCCGAGCTCGTGGTGACACTTCGTCTCCCTCTCCCTCCCTCCCTCCCTCCCTCCCTCTCGCCTCCGAGCGATTCGGCCGCGTTCATTCATGGGCTCGGGAGGCTGCCAGGAAACCGGGACGTTATTTCGAGTGCGAGACCGTATACGATACGCGTATCCGAGAAGAGGTGTAACACGATCGAGAGTAGAAACGGCGAGAGGGCGAGGAGGAAAGAGGAACGACGTGAGTGGTTGGAAGGCGCGGGTCACAGGAGAAGGTGGAGGCGAAGGAGTGCAGTCGCGTATAGCCGGCACGAGGGAAATAAATGGTTCGGGGAACCGGCAGGAACCGGTCTCGCGGACAAAAGACATGTTACCGGCGCCGCCTGAGCCGCCGCCACCGAGAGCCATTCGAGGGACGAGAAGATAGGAGAAGAAAGGAGTCGTATCGGGAGCGCGAGACGAGGACAGGAGGGCGAAAAGGATCCTGGCTGCGGGAACGGTTGCTGACTCAGGAGAGAGGGCGGAGAGTGATTCCGCTGATGCCGATGGAGGAAGAGGCCGGTAACCTCCCGCCGGCTCTGAAGCCCGTTTCACGCGATTTGCAATTTGCCACGGGGAATCTCGTCGTGCAAGATCGGAAATTCTTCCGCGAGCTAACATTAATGCGCGCCCGCGAGATTAAAATATGTCCCGTCGACTGCGCGTCAGGCGCACGCGGAGGAGAGTCGGAGTTACGTGGTCCAGGTAATCGCTGTTTTTGAAGCTGTGCGCGCTGGTTCAGTTTTTCGCTTCTCTGTCGAGTAAAATGAATTCGTTCCTCGTGAATCAAATCGCGGTGTTAACGGCAAAATTTCATCGTGAAACGGGCATGAGTAACACAAATCGGAAAACGAGAATTGCGCGCGGCCTTTGTCCGCGTCAGTGAATTCGCTCTAATCCTCGCGAGGCCGTCCGTTTCTTCGCCCCCTTCCTCGGGCCTCTCCGCGTCTCGCGGCCTCTTTCCCGTCTATTTATCTTCCTTTCTCTCGTTCTCTGGGTTACTCGAGCTCTCATCACGAGCATCGCGGTCGTTTCTTCGTTCTCCATCTCTTCCTGCTTTGCGTTCCCCCGAGAGAGTAATAAGGGGAAAGAGAGCCGGACCTCGTTTCGGATACAGCCGCTTTTCATCCCCGACTGCGCGCCCGTACCTCCGTACTGATTGCAGCCTCGAATTGCTGCGATAATTCGGATTTGTATCTCGCGCGATCAGGGACGCTCGTGATACTCTGATCGCGATGAACGATACCAATAAAGAATTTGAACGATCTGCGAAACAAAATTTAAGCTTTACATGAAGAGGATGCCACACTCGGAAACTTTATCGACAAAATATTCACTTTTTTCTGCAAAGTTTACGTCGTATTACTGGCAGAGAATTATACAAATCCTTTTACATACTGAAAGTACATATGATGATGAATTGGAGCATTGCTCAATATATGTGACGAAAATGATAAAATTTAACAATTGATATCTTATATTAACAGTTTCGATGTAAATATTTATTTCATACAAAAGTTCCGTAGTTTGCGTACCGCACGTGTGTTTGTTTCACTAACGAAAATTTCGAAAGGAACGTTTCCGTATCCTTACAACTGAACGTAACTGTTGAAAAGTATACGAAAAGTTTAAAAGATTTCTATATGCGTGTGAGGTTATGTTTTGTGGTACGTTAAGAAAAAAATATTAAAAAATGAACAAATATTTATTAGGTGGGTATCATTAACATATTTATTTAAGTCAAAATTCTTTTCATTTAAACTGAATATTGTTTACTCAGTTTAAGTAAACAATACTCAGTTTAAATGAAAAGAATTTTGTTTTAAGCAAATATATTAATATTTAAATAAAAATATGTTAATAGTACTTATCTAATAAATATTTGTTAATTTTTAAATATTTTTAAATATTTTAGTGTAGCATAATAAAAAAACAGAACAGCATACATTTACATAAGATTTATATGTACAAGAAATACGAAAAGAATTGCATGAAGAATGATCATTGCATGATCGCGTTAGTGACGGCCGCTTCTACGTTATCGACATTTTTCGAGTTCATTACATTCACTTCGGCATCTCCCTAACACTACTTGTAGTGTTCAAGTTCAACAAGACTTGTCTCATTGAATTTAAAGAGAATCAATAAAGAATCTCAAGGTATATTGTTATACAGAGTATTGCCTTTTGTTATTGAAAATGGTTATTTACTGCCGTATTGTTGAGATTTAAAAAATCTAATGAAGCATTATTTAACATTCCATTATCTCCATAAATTTTGAGTTCCTATGTCGAGACTTATAAAAAGAGGGACCTATTTAAGAATTATTTAATATCAATTTAATATAAACTCAATAGTCTACTTACATTTATTCTTCTTCAATTCAACAAGCATATATTAATTATGTGACATATTCAACTGCAGGTAGACTATTTCAATAATCGAGTATCAAATAATCTAATAAAGATTAATAGAGACAAGTAGATAATTAAAACGACAGACTGTCTTCTTTTATAATCTTTTTATTACTTTTTATTGGAGTTAAAAATCTCGGTAAGATTTCGATATTCGAAAGACACTCCAGAAAGAAGAAGTTGATAGATCG